CTCGTGTGCGTTAGCCCACGATCGTCCACCGATCCCCCGGCGGAACCAATCACGCACAGTGATTGGTTCACCTATTTTTTTGCTGGGCGTGATTGGTTTAGGCGATGACAGCAAAAGCGCAAAGACGCCGTAACAATACACTTTTAAGTCTGCTCGATTGGCTCAATCGGTTCGGCTCCATCCGTGATTGGTTCCATCGGGCTGCGGCCGAAGTTAACGTGAAGTGGAGTATAAAAAAATAGAGCTGAAGAATCGAAAAGTATATTTAGATGTAGTAGGTTGCCACCGACCAGCGTCGAGTCACAGGGGGATCGTATACGCACTTTGAAAGGATCAAGTAAACACTGAGTTTTAGTATTGCGTATAGGAGCAAATGCAAGCCCCGTGCGTTTGCGTTAGCGTTGAGTGTTCCACACTGCGCGTGTGCGGAGTCCAAACTGCGGTCTTGGATTGGCGCTTCGCGCATGCGCAGCGTGAAGAACGCAACGCTAACGCAAACGCACAGCGCTTGCGTTTGCTCCTATACGCAATACTAAAACTCACTAATAACTCTCGTGTATTGTGTGACGCTGCTGCAAGTTATGAGACACGTGTGGTCAGATACGCGCTATTGCCTGAAGCATCGAAAAATTAGCTAAACCGAGTCAAACGCTGCATATAAAATATTCTTTAAGAGAAGATCCGCAGAAGGAAAAGAAGAATAATGTCAGAGTTTATTTAAGTTCCTTATTATTCCTGACTTTTTTTATTATTAAAAACCGAGATATCCCACAGTATAGACTTTCTTGCTTGAAAGAGAAATGAATTTAACGCTCAATTGACTTCAAGAAAACTGTGTTTGCACCGATTGATGTAAATACGAGGTTCGATCCAAAAGTTCAGAGGCTCATTTTGTTACACATTTAAAAAAAAAAAAAACGGAAACGACGGACGAAAGGGAGGACGAAAAGGGGGACAACAACATTATTCGTCCGTTGGCTCCGGTTTTTCAAAAATGTGTTACGTAAGCCAGCTCACCCGTCTACTCTCTCCATCTTCAGCTAAGTTTGTAGCGCACAAAAGGAGGGCGGCACGATAATGCGCTCGCAGCAGTTAAAGGCAGGGACCTCCATGAGACATTATACGAAAAGGCGTCGTTTTGTTAGCATTGGCAGCTCCCTTACACGAATTTCTGTGACTACGTGCAGGAGCACAGTAGCGATGTCAGCTTGAACTGCAAACTAGAGGGAGAGCGAACACCAATTCTGAACCAAACTCGCAAATTTAGAGCACAGACGTTTGAAATGATTCGGTAGCCTCGTGGCGAAAAAGCAGTGAATCGTGTAAGATGCTTCGAGCGCCACTCGCGCTTCAAGAATGGCAACACATCACTGGGAGATATACAAGGGTAAATTACGTCCAAAATGTAATTTAATTACAATTACAATTACTTTGCTCCAAAAGTAATTTAACTACAATTACAATTACTACTACGTGAAAGGTAATTAATTACAATTACAAATTACTTTTAAGAAGTAATGCAATTACTTTGCAATTACTTATTTCTGAAAGCGACCCGACTTGGGCCATGTTCTATTGAATGCAACACATATATTCATTCCTTGCCCCAATGTTTCAGGAGGCCTAAGCATAGATGCATAAACGTCACCTATTGCACTTTCATGAATTTTGTTAAATTCAATACAGAGCTTGACAGTTTGGGGCGATGAAGTACTAGGTTCTTACATTTTAATAAATATTTATAAATTAGTTCATATCCTGGAAGACGCCAGATCGGTAAAAAAAATATTGGGTTGGGAGACTTTTGTTTTTAAGACAAATAAAATTGCGAAAATTAGTCATATATAAATATTTTACAAGTGGTTACATAAAACTAATATCCACACGTGCTATAATACGACCACATTCACATACAAACATCAGGTTATTGTAAATGATTTAGATTGAGTTTAATTATGATGGATCAGAAATATAGAAGAACCAAATAGGGGGCTCCTGAATCATTGATCACAATATTCACAAATGCGAGGTCAATCTCCAAAATGCGTATGCAAATAATATCAGAAGTTAAAGGGACGCTGAACCAAAATCTGGATTCCCCAACACACGCGGCAAAAGCGTGCAACGGGATGCTACAAACGCCAAAACATTACTCATACAGCGATATCTCGAACGAATGACCGTATTTTTCAAAAAAAGGACGCGCATTCGGCAGAGATGTTGACGTCATGTCTTTCCGAGAAGGAGAGGGAACGGCCTCGCGTCTTCTCCGCCTCGCGGCCTTCAGGGAGCGAAGCGAAGAGATGGGTAAACAAGGTATCTTGAGGTCACGCGCCTCGTCGGCCTGGTTCAATCTCGACTTCTTTTTCCACAAATACGGCCGTCCATTTGAGACATCGCCTTACTAGTAGTGTTGTAGGGATTGTAGCGTCCCGCCTACATCTCCAGCATCGTTTTTTTTTTAATCCAAATTTTTGTTTACCATCCCTTTACACCACAAAGAAATAAACTTCAAAATAATACGAAGATGCAAATATGCGACAATACAAAAAGAGGGACGTAAAAAACAGGCAAAAGAGAAAAGAAAAATAACTTCATAGACAATAAAATTCCCAACCTCGACTAAAAGCTGAAGCTAATTTTTTTTTTTCCAATACTTTGGCATGTCTACGCTATTATTATCTTCTCGCACCACAGATGGCGCTGCACGGTGTTGTTGAGGTAGGCTCAAAAAAAAATTGTCACTCAACCCGCAGTGTAAGCAAAAAAAAAAAAAAAAAAAGATTGACGCTATTTTTGTTGTGCGTGCGTGTGCATGCGTGTCTATGTGTGCGAGTGTACAACCAAGCTCTAGGCCTTTTGTGCGAGCGCTGAGGCTTTCGAGAGGTTCCGTCGGCGCCACAAAGTCTTGCAAAAGTAATTGTAATTGTGGCTGAAATGTTGCAATGACTGAAGCTAGAAAGTAATTAAATTACAATTACAATTCCTTTTAGCCACAAGTAATTAAATACAACTACAAATTACCAAGACAAGTAACTAAATTCCAGTAATCCAATTACTGTAACTGAATTACTACCCAAGTATGCGGAGACGAAGATAGGTCGGAAAAGTCTGCCCTCTCTCTCTTCGACTTCTAGTGACGTTCTGCCATTCTTGAACCGCGAGCACCAGTGAACGCTCTGAATTGCCTGCTCTTGTCACTTTTGAACGGCTTGGTGATAACGAATTGATGACGCTCTTTTCAGATTTACAGTGCATGTTCTGGTAATTTATCGAACCGTTACTTGCTTATCGTTCTCCCCCTGTGGTATGCTCTTACCTGTCCTACAGTAGAGCACTCCATACGTGCATGCCGGCCCGGTTCAATGAAATTTCGTTGACCCTTATTCATTTTGGTAAAGGAAGCCATTCTAAACATATGAAACCATACATTCCCAAATAAACACCGAGATTCGTGTTTTTTATATTTATATATATACTAAAAGATTATTTTTTTTCGTTCCTTTCCACCCATACAACTTCAGGATTTGTACACTATATACAGAACATAGAAACTTATGACTTAGTAAGGAGTTCTGCCCAGTCTACATCAAATGGAAATCATTTTGACATTGTAGCTTTGCGCTTGACGTTTGGGCTTTAATCCGTTTCAATCCTCGCTCACTTAACCATGGGAAAAGTGGCAATTTTCAAAGGATCTGTGCAAATGCTTTTATTTTTCTAACTAATTAGCGTAGGGAATAATATGACACATCAGAATGTGGCTAACTCGTTGTTCTTTTAAAGGAAACTGAGGTTGATATAATGTGAGACAAAGATTTTAATATTTTACTGTTTGAAAAGACAATGTACGTGCGGAAGACGTATAAACACCGACACTTCTAGAGCTACTCAAATTAAACGACAGATAAAAGAAAACTTCATGATATACAAAATGTGATGCCCACCCACGGCTATTACCTTTTAACGTTAGTGTGCTCTAACTGACGTTGTCTATTTTTGGTTCGTCCGAAAGTTAGCCTCCGTAACACGTGCGTTTTTCAACGAGGGAATGCTTAGAGTGGTGAAACACAGATAGTACACCTCACATCACCAGCAGAAGGCTTTCTTTGTGTTCTACGTGGTTTTGTCATAGCCTTGATTGCAGTTGCTTGATATGTAGCATTATTGTTCGCCTTCTTGGGAGCATAAAACGTGAAGGCCGGCTCAGGACAGCATTGGAAATTATAGTGATGTTTATCGACAATCATATGGTAAGCGACGCCTATTACATGGTTTAAAGTGTTCCCACAGGTCTTGAGGCCTAAAATGTATGCACAACACAGCTGAGTTCTGTAAATATCGCCATCTTTATTACGAAGACTGATGCAAGCAATTAGCCATGTTAAACAAGTGCAACCACCGTTACCAGGACTATTCTTGACAGCCCACCATGTTTTTGATAAAGCTTAAATCTAAATTGAAACCGAAACTAGAGTTCTTCGGCTGTCCATTAGATGGTGGAACATATATCTCCGCACCAAATTTAATTTCTTGACTGTGCTTGGGAACCACCGATCACCGGTGATCAATGGTCTATGGGCGCATCCATGGAAGAGTTCAGTCGTGCGTATGTGTCAGCAGTCGACGCGAAGGAACATTTGCCCGGAAATTACGTTTCAGGATCACGCAGGGGCTGATACAGGCCTTGCCGATCTCGAAGGATGTGGTAGAAGATTCCTGGGAGGGGATCTGGCGCGTGTATACCAAAGGTTTGTGTACTTCGGCTAGACGATTCTGGGGGAGGGGCCGGGGGAGGGGAGGGGGGGGGGGGGGGCGGAAGGTGTTGAAAGTTTGGGTGTGTTATAGGGTGTGATGGGGGGGGGGGGGGGTTATATCCCTGGCGTCATAGATCTGATTTTGGTGTTGCGATTAAGCTTACAACCGAATGGAAACTTCTAAACATGTTCGGACATGAGGGCTTTGGAGTTTATGCAGGCCCGAGAAGAAGCTCAACCCACCTGCCCGACGAGCTTCGGGTGCCTCGTGTCTGAGATGTCGTACTGTCGGACGTCCCCGTGGATCCAACAGGCGATGTACAGGAAACGGTCGTCCAGCGAAATCAGGATGTCTGTGATCACCGCTGCCCGGGGCAAAAGAAATATCCGCTCAGAAGATAATCCCGCGAACCCCAGACAGATAAGGTTTGTAGTCGGGCCAATTGGTGCATGATAAGAATAAACAAAACAACGCAAAACCAGAGAGGACACAGGATGGGTGAAAGACACACGCAAACATAATGAAAATAGAACCCCCTCTTGTGTCAACGACGTTATTTAAAATGTTAAATCGGCAGAAAAAAAAATAATTTGATTTTTTTTTCCGGAGGCTAGGCATGACGTAATGCTCTTACATTTCAGCTACTACTCGCACACCTGTATAGCATGATTGGCTTCCAATGCACGTCACAAGGCCCAACCCGTAAACTTCTCAGTGAAGCTTGAGAAACATTTTATAACTGCGCTATATAATGGCAAGAGCTGGTCAATATCGCAAGAAGTCCAAACCCGTAATACGCTCCCGTGCTTTCTGAATTGAGCTATGGCAGTGAACATGTAGTCTCTCAAATATTCCTTAATCAAAACTCGCGGCCAGTGAGAAAACTATCAGATATATGATTTCCCTAAGGCGTCATGTTTAAACTTTGGAAAGTTCCGATTAACAGCTCTTGCATCTGTGTGTCAAGCCTCGTTCAAAACGTTTCAGATACTCTAGGTAATCTGGGAAAATCACGACTACCGCTACTAACAAGCGGGGCTCACCTGGCATCATTTCCATAGCCCATCCTTTTACTTTCTTCGGAGGCACCGAGATCACTTTCTCAGCTTCCCAGCATTTCTCCTGTCGGCGGGCAGACATAAAGACAACGTCCCAGTCGAATATTTATTTGTCAGTTAAGCCGAGAATACCCCCATAGTACGCAAACGCAGAATGTAATTTCATATTAACAAAGTTCTTACAAGCCAAATACTCATCGCTATACAATGGATGCATACTTATTTACAACTATACGTAAATAAAGCATATGTGTTCCTTCTTTTGACACCAAACTTTAAGAATAAGGCATAAAAGCGTCTTTGACAGATTTGATAGTGAGGGGTTAGTATCACGGCAAGGGCTGCAACGGTCCACCATCGCAGCATTGCCGTGACGCTGAAGAAATTTATAAGCGCAGACTGGAGACGAACACAAAGAAAGGAACACAGACAGATGCTTGCCGTTTGTCGATGTCCCCACACAGTTTCCGCGGCATTAACCTTTTACCAAGTCAGCCCTTACATCACATTGGCCTCTTACAGGACATTTCGCTGTTCTTCCTCTTGCATCCCTGCCCGCGTTCCCATAACGATGTCTTATTGGTGGTCGGGGTTTGCTTGACCCCCTGCTGGCACGAAACCACATCAGTTGCTTGACTGGAATGACAGTCGATTATAGGTGATTTCTTTACAGGTAGTGCTCACCTCGTCGAGGCTGTAGCAGGAGTGGTACACACACAAGAAACAAAAGAGACATCACAAAAGTCCAAAACCGTCGGCAGCGCCCTGCTGCATTGCCATGCAGACAAGCTATTTTCGGTGTGGTTAGGATGCTGGGTCATCAGCCCCGCCGGAGAACAACAACCTAGTAGCCGAGGACGAAACCAATTAAGAATAACGGAAAACAAAACCAGTCCCGACATTTAGATAAAAATACGAACGCGCATTAAAACCTGAATACGTTTTTTGTCCGATTTAAAACAATGAAGAAAAAAAACATGAACGAACGAGTGAACACGGCTATTGGCAATCAATTTCACTTTTGTTACCGTTGTAAAAAAAACCGTCGCTTTCTTTTTTTTTTTTTTAGGCTTAAACAATATTTGTTTATTACACCAAAGCTTAGATGAAAAAAACTGGGTTCTTTAAGGTACAGAAATGCCAAGTTAGCAAACATAGTCAAGTGTATCGTGGTGCCCAGACGTTTATCAAGTATCAATTTAGTCGCAGTGTCTAAGGTAATACAGTTCCTAAACTGCGCATTTGACGAATTTTAGGAGCGAAACTGTAACCACTTGTTTTTTGTTTTTTTTAACTTCAAATTATCTTTAAATAATTAATATCTGAAAATAGAGTTTTCATCGCACAAGACATAAACTTGGAGGAGCCTCTCACGTCGTTTTTGAAGAAACGAAACACGGTCCCGCCGAGTGCACAACCCACGTAGCCCTCGGCGGCGTCGGGGTCGTGCAGGAAGCGAACTTCCAGGGGGAGCAGACCCTCCTCGCCCAGGTCCAGCGTCTGAAGCTTGTGCCGGTACATCCAGTCCCAGACAACCAGGCTCGAGCCGTACAGCCCTGAGAAATCAGGCCAGGGGAACAGAATTCCACAAGGTTCGTAAGGGCCGCGTTCCAAAATTTACTCGATCCTACTCCAGGGTAAGGGTTTTGTACCCTGGCGTTCCAAAACCTAACCGCGTCCAGCGCTTTTCTATCTGAGTTGTCACGTGACACGACCCGGCGGAGTAACTCGGATTTATTTGGGCAAGATTTGGAACACAGCCAAGGTGATAATCGCTACTATAGTTCGCACGTTTTTGTAGGATCAGCAGTCTCGTTCATTTTAACGCGGACTCTCTCGAAAGACCGGTTTTTGCATTTCGCGCTTTATGTAACAAACCAAAAAGCGTTCAACCGCAGCTTAATTGAGCGGAAAAGAGGATATATCGATAAAATGTTATATAAGTTTGTAAGTTTTATCTTGGGTTCGTATATGTGTGCTCATACAGGCATACAGTACACGCGGTCCGAGCAAAACCGGATTTTTCGTCATTGTGACTTTTACGTAGATTTAATGAGGGCATTGTTAACACAATTTAACGAACTTTGTTTCTATTTGTAATAAAAATGGTTTTCGAAAAAAACCTAAGAAATAAGAAAACGAAATTGCATCTTCCTTGGTACAAAAGGTAAAACAATACACCATAAAAGAAAATCCAGCTATACTTGTTTTTACCTCAACAACCCTAGTAAAAAAATAAAAACACGCCCTCCGTTATGCGGAGAATTTCATTCCAATTCATTTATTATCCCTTAAAGGCTCTCTTTCGAGGGCATTACATAAGGAGGGGGCAAGTACGGTAAGTTATACAATTCAAAAAGAACGAAACAACAATGAAAAGCGATACACAGTCTAGTTTGGTAACGAGAGAGTAAACAGACAACAAAGGAAACTACATGGCGAAATCTAAGATGATGTAATCCATAAAAATAACTGGGTCCGTGACTGAAGCGAGAGACTCTGGGAGATCGTTCCAGTCCACAATTGTGAGAGGTACAAACGATTTGTTAAATGTGTTAGTTGATCCGGCTATGTGCTAAAAGTTATGGGAGTTGTTGACCACCGTTCGGGAGAGTGTAGGAACAAAATACTAATAGCGGGACGATAATGATAACGTTTGTGGGGTAGGCAAAAACGCGCTACCTTACGGCGTGATTAGAGGGTAAATAAGTTAAAGTTCGCTTTTATTGTAGACAAACTAGCTGTATAATCGTAATTTGATGAGATGTAGCGGGCTGCTCGGTTTTGTACTGCTTCAAGTTGAGTGATCAAATCATTTTGGTGGGGATTCCAAATTGCAACGCCGTATTCTAGGTTTGGTCGAATGAAAGTTTCGTACGCAAGTTTCCTGAGTTGTGGGGTAGCAGCACTCAGGCAGCGCCGGATGTAGCTAAGGGTCTTTGCTGCGTCCGATGAGATCGCGTTAATGTGGTTGATCCATGACATGTCAGAAGTTAGAACCACACAAAGATACTTGCGTTTCCTGACTTCTTCGATGATAGCGTTATCTAGCTTGTACTGAAACGAGGAATAGACTCTTTTTCGATAAAAGAGGATTAGTTGGCATTTTGATTTGTTTTAATGACATTAGCCAGTTATTACAACACTATAGTCCGTTGCAACCTAAGAACGAAGGGCGAGGGTAAGACGAGCCGGGGAGGAGAAAGCAGACGGAACGCTGGTGAAGAGAGGGGGAAGCCTCCTTCTCTCTTTAGCGTTCCGTCTGCTTCCTCCTCCCCGGCTCGTCTTACCCTCGCCCTTCGTTCTTAGGTTGCAACGGACTATAGGTGACATGAAGTAGTTCCTTCTGAAGTAGAGCCTGGTCATAAGGTGAGGTAATTTCGCGATAGAGTTCGCAGTCATTTGTGAAAATGCATATGTTAGACGTGATATGGTCGGGAAGAAAAAGAAGAGGACCAAGGGCTGTTCCTTGGAGCACACCGAATGTGACATCAGTATGGTTAGATTCATGCTCGTCCAAGACAGTGTAATGGACTCCAGAGGTAAGAAAAGAGAGTATCCGTTTGAGGACTTGAGGATCTAGATGAAGGCGGGAAAGCTTTGAAATTAAACGAAGGGGAGGAACACGGTAAAATGCCTTGGAAAAGTCTAAAAATATGGCATCTGTGTCATTGTGAGATAGAAGGTTACGGTGGACGTCATGAGTCAATTTAAAAAGTTGTGTTTTGCAGGCATAACCTTTGCGAAAACCATGCTGGTGCTGGTAGGAAAGGTCGTTGCTGTCTAGATGAAACATTAAATGGGAGTAGATAATATGTTCGAGAAGCTTTGATGCGACAGAGGTCAATGAGATAGGACGATAATTTGAGGGCATGGAGCGACCGTCTCTTTTGTGGCCCGGAACAATCTTGCCCACTTTCCAATCAGACGGGAGCCAGCTTCGGACAGTGACTGCTCGAATATCAAGTACAATATGAAACCAGATATAGCCGAGGTGTTCTTTAGTATTTTGGATGACACGTTATCTGTTTCTGAGGACGATGAAAGTTTTAGCTCTTCGATAAGGGTGGCAATATCGGCTGCTGAAATACTGATAGGAGACATAGGCTCATAGTGGGAAGTTGGTCACACAGGTATATCGAAGAAACTCTATTTTTTAAAGTTGAAAGTAAAAATTGTGTTTATTACCTTTGAGCATGGTTGTTCGTCAACTGGGTTTCTGCTCTCATCGATCAATTGAACTACACGGTTGTTGCTTTTTTGGTGAAATTAAATTCCAAAATATGTTTGGAATCTAATTTTACCAAAAAGATGTATGTAGTGGTAGTTTAGGTTAGATATATGTCATCTTATTAAGACGTACACATTTCAAACGCCAAAAGCATCGCTTCTTCCTCCGACAACAAAATCTCGTAAAACTACTTCGCGCGGCGTATGAACAATGCGCAAAAGTTCTTTTTTTCTTGAGGTGAAAACGAGTATAGTTGTTATTAGATCGAATAAAACCAAATCCACAAAACTGTATTTCCTTATCAGTTGTTCGAGACAAATTAAACTGTTAACATTCGGGTAGCTGAAAACGGTAACTCCCTTCAAATTTCTATACAAGGAAAAGGGGACTTCTGTTGCGCAGATGGGGTTAGTGAAAATATTAATTTCCTTCAAATTTCTATTAAAAAATGAATTTATGTTGCGCAGATGGGGTTAGAATTTATCACTCTTATTACCCTAGAGCGAGTCACTGACTGAACTCTACCCCATGCACTCAACCGAATGGTTGACGCGGCTCTCCTGTCCAATCCGTGCATCGGGCCGGAGTGCGGTCATGTTTCACTACTGCGTCGTGCACGCGAAAGACCACAGGCTAGTGGTAGTACTGCCCCACTAAGTTTGTTATCTAGAGCAGAGACACCAGACCATTGACCAGCTTCCCGCTGTCTATAAACGGACACAAAACACAATTGCTTCAGGGGGTGTTGCGTGGCGGCGCCTCACCTTGCTTGACGTCGGCCATGTTGAAGCCCGTCCGGAATGCAGAGGGCGCCCCCCATTGGCTGCTCACCATCACGTTGTGGCGAGGCTGGTACCAGAAGTCGTACCCGAAGTCGGAGAAGTACAGCTCCGGTTGCCAAGTCCCACGCAGGGAAAACGTGCGCTCTTCCAGCACCAAGAAGCTGCCTGTGTGGAAAGAAACACTTCATAAATGAGAACGGACTCTACTTCGTTAGGAGGGAATACAAGCACTCCTCAAAGGAAAAAAGGTCAGCCAGCGTGAGCTCACAGTTTCCTGGGTTGGTATCGTCGAGTGAGTTCACGTTTTTCGATTTTAGCCTTCGAAAGTTATCGACTCCCGGTCATACTTTGTACAGCGTCTGGGGAGAACTAAAGGTAGGTACAACAGCTACGGTGGAAAATTTTCTACTTGTTAGAAACACAGTACAAAAGTTAGATTCTTCGCAAAATAATACTATAGGCCTGTGACGTTCTGAAACGTTTGCCGCATTCCCAAAACTCTGAATTTAATGCGCCGACAAAGATAGCTCGAACCTACATTCAAGCCGGCAACGAGAAGTAATTGCGACGTATTCTCGCATATTTTAGTAGTATAGCGATATTTTATTTGCGTGCTTTTTAGTATAGCGATATTTTATTTGTGCGGTTTTAAAACGAAGATCGCCAGCATCACAAAAATCTTCTCTGGTGCAAGCTCGTTTACATGCGTAAGATAGCTATTCTCAAAGAAGTTAAAATAATAGTAACAAAAAATTTGCCATCTTTGCAATACGGGCCGAAACGGAGGGTGAAGCAGAGCTCGCGGAGGATGTCAGAATACCAAGCTTTGATGTTCTGACATTCATGTAGCAGGTGTTGAACGTTTTACAAACACACACCATATTTGAAATTGAAAGGTCGCGTTTATTTTGAAAGTAAAAATTGTTTAATCGACTTTCAGGCATATCATGCGAGACATATTCCGAAAGAAACGCAATATCGCATTTAAAAAATCCACCCTAACAAGTTCACGACTTCGTCACTCCGTCTCGAAGGGGGGAAAGGGGGGGGGGGGAGGGGGGGAAGGATGCATCGGTGGTTGATAGTGTTGACGCACTGCGTAGCTCGGAACACGAAGAGCGAAAGATCGCGCTGCCCATGCAGATCCCCGGGATACTATAACTCTGCAGCGCTAATCTGCGTACGATGCAAATGAAACGCGCCCCTTCGCGCTTTGGTGTCGGTTGGCATCAGTGACGGCGTTTGGCCGTGTAATGGCGGTCGTACAGCGCTGGCTAAATTGCTCATTTAAGCAACGAGACACCGACCTCTCGTCGAATGGGCGTTTATATTTATTTCTTCTTTTAAGGCAGGGACGCTAGTGTAGAAATATTCTACCTTGTAGTAAGGTAGAATCTGAAAAAATGGTGAGTGAAATTAACGAGAAACGATGCGCACGCAGTGATCTTTTTTTCTTTTTCTTTTTTTTTTTTTTGTGTCTGAGGATTAAGCGTCAAAACAAGATCGAGGAGGCGAACTAGAAAACTCGAACCGAAAATATTTGGGCAATGGTAGAAACTGGGATCAAGCAGTAGCAGCTAAGCATAGTTTGAAAGTAGCGGAGAGGTAAATGTGGAATTTGGGTATGCAAACTAAATCAAACGCGGAGACCGATTATTCGTACATCTCGGCGAACTGGAATGTACGATGATAAACATCAGAATATCGATGCAGTGTGTGGGGCGTGCGAAGAGGAGGAGGATGGCACGGCTGAACACTTGATGCACTGATTTAGCAAGTTTACAGACAGCAAAATAAAAAAGTTCTACGGATAACGTCGGGAGACATACGATGTGCAGCCTATCTTGAGCTGCGTTGGGTGTTTATTTATGAGCTTTCTTGAGCTCGGAAATCGGCTAAATGCGGACGATTTCGTTCCCTTAATTTAGCAAACATGTAATAAAGAGTTTGTTTATTTTGCATGCAGTGGCGCACCAACTTGTTTTTGAGTGTGTGTGTGTGTGTGTGGGGGGGGGGGGGGGGGGGCAAACCAGACCTTCCCTCCTGGAGGCGGGGGGCGGTGGCCTTGGTATCCCTCGGCGCCTCTGGTCAGTGTTTGCCCTGCCCAGTGGCAAACACTGGGCAGGGCAAAAAGCCTGCCCAGTGGCGGCTGTTTCAAGCCGGGGGGGGAGGGGGGGTGGACAAAACAGATGCCTTGTCCCCCCCACTCTGAAAACTGGAGGGGGGGGAAGGCAAGCGCCCCCTCGCCCCTCCCCCCCCCCCCCCCCCCCCCCCCCCCCGGTTGGTACGCCCATGTTTGCATGGGAGGTTGACACGGGCTTGTATCGTTATTCCCCAAGGCGCGTCAAGGTAGTAAAAATTATCTCTTGAAGTCTATAACGCTGGCTAGGCGGCTCTGGCAGCCGCCCGACTCAAAGGATTCATTTGTATCCATCCATCCATCTACGCGAATATAAGACGTCACTGATGCCGGCAGTGGCAGATCATGCTTCAAGTCATGCTCACTGTCACGTCGAAGACTTCACTTCTAAGTCAACGTTAGAATTTTGTTTCTTCGTAATTAAACGAATTCTTTTCATACACTGCAGCGACTGACTCTCGAAGTGCCCCGTAGAACGGATGACAGAGGAGAATATTTTTTGAGTGGATAGAAAACAGTATATTATGACAGACCCAACCGTTGTTCGCCTATCTATGGGCTCACCTTTGGCATTTCCGTTAGCGTCACCCATGGTGCTCAACATCACCTCTCCGCTGGGGAGGCAGTGGGGCGTATGAGGCGCCCCAACCCCGTAGCTGTGTACTTCCTCGGGTTCGATCACCTACGACAAGCAACGTACATTATGCAGGCGACCATCATTTGCGGTTAGTTTTGTACTATTTCTTTTTTATTATTTGTTTGCTGCTGTTTTATTCAGCTACGTTGAAATCTCCTGGGCGGCGCACGAGATTTTTAGCGAGAGTATGACGGCTGGTGTCACCCTGTGGCTTCTACAATGTCGTTGACTTCACGAGGGCAAAACATTACCCGGGAATTTCTTTTCCCCCACGCTATTTTTCATTCACACAGCGCTAGAGTAGGCAAAGCAATAGACACTTTTCAAAAGTTTGTGCCATCACCTGTCCGCTAATGCTTGATCACGTACTCCGAGCTTGTAAGGACACGAGAGTGACGTCAACGTTCGGCGATGACTCGGATCCAATCAAGGGCTTCGTGTCCAAGCAATGGCGACCGCCAATGTTGCCTGATTGGTTTTTTGAAAAAGGTCTATTATCTCTCTATTCTGTCTATTATCTCAAATTTCGTGCCATATGAACGAACAACCAATTACTGAAGAAAAAAACCTTTTTCTTAGTTAGCCTTTCCACTTTGGTCAAGAAGGCAGAGCAGCGGAGCTGTAGCTTCTGTTTTTGGTGTTGGCTTTTCAGGCGAGCGATCTGCTCTTTTTTCGCAAGGGAATCTGAAGCACTCGACGCAGTGGAACTTTAGGCGATAGCGGCATCACGGCGGTTGCGGAACCATTCGCGCTGCTGCGCACATCGCCGCTCGTTCCGTTCCCGCTGTTCTTTCTCCGAAGAAACGTTGCCGCCATCCATGAGCGACGGCAGAAAGCAGTTGTTTGGTTGCCAAGGCTGGAAAGGTTACAGCAATGAATGAGCGACGGCGCCAAGCAGACAATCGGCAAACACAACGCTCTGGACAACTACCGCCATCTGTGAGCAACGGCGGCATCCGGAGCGTTGTGTCGACAATGGGTGTCGACATTTGTTTGGTACCGGACACGATCCAGTGGAAACTAGCCCTTAACAGCTCCGCTGTAAAAAGTTTACTTCGCTTGCGCTGAATATTTGCCCTTTTCCAAAACAAAACACTTGGAAAAATTGATAAACTATGTTGCGGCCAACGCGTATGACCTTTTTCTATGCCCGGTTAACGAAATGTGGAAAGAAGAAAAGCAATCAATCAGTTTCGCAGGTTTCTCATAAACAAAATAGGAGTTTTGAAAGTTTACAGGATCTCTTATATGAACCCTGCAACATTTTTCGGGTACGTTTTACATCGCATTTTGTTTTCTTGGCCAGCGTAGACTTCTGGCTGCTCAAACTGAACAGTTTTTTTTTTTTTTTTTTTACTAATCGTTTTTGAAGGTTCGATACTACTTCGGCCCGCGCGCCTCAAGACGTGCCTTGAGGCGGCAGTGAGAGATTCCGATCCACATACAGATCTACAAAAACACGATCTGCTGAAACTTCCCAATATATGGCATCTGCCGGACGCTTCAGTCGTCGAAAGCGGAACATTTTACCAATTCTATGTAGGCCAACTCTTGCCGACGAAGAATTGAAAACCTTTCGCTGCTCTCTCGGTCACAAAAGTGTAGCCAGGGCCAATAACATTGTGGCAATTTTTCGCTTCGGGGGCACGCAGGTTTTAGCTTGATGGTTGAACAAGCTGCACCCAAATTCAATTTTGTTTTTCACCCACTAATGTAATTAACTAGGACCGTCCACTGGCTAAGAATTTTCTAGCAATAAAGCGGAGACCTTTGATTAATGAATCGATCGGTTAATCGGCGGAATGTGGAGCCCGATTGAATAGTTATAGCACTTCGAATTTATAATTAAATGCATTATATATTTGGGAAACGCAATTGCTACGATTTGAATAGCCCGATCGGCATACATCCAAATGGCATACGCTGATTACAAAAGAAGATAAACAATAAAAATAATAATTAAAAAAAAAATATATATATATAGGTTTTTTTGTTGTTTTTTTTTTGTTTTTTTTTTACTTACATTACATGATCCGTTATTAAGTAAGATCGAAGCAAGTAAAAAGTGTGAGACTCGGAAAATAACGCTTACAAGGATTAATATTCCCCAAGAGGGATTCAAGCAGATATCGTATCATATCATTTAGGGAAACTTATTTATATTTTTGGCCGTACAACTTTCATTGAGGTACTAACCTTCGAAGAAAACAAAGTAATAAAAACGTTTTACAGAGAAGACTGACAATACGCCCAAAATTAACTATACTTAACTGGAGTTCCCGACGATTACAAATAATAACTGTACAAACAAGAAGGACATTAATTTCAACTGCCAATTTCACTTATATTTGATTCTGCCAGCTGCGTAAACAAAAACGTGTATAATACGCTTGCCGAAAACAGGGAGATATTTTTGTTTGTTACAGATCATGCAACGCAAAACTCACTTTCCCACGGCACAAAAGTGGCAGGGGCACGGAAAATCCGTAACAGCCCTGGGTCTAATTTTTAAAAAAATAATCGGATGAAAAATCAGTCGGCGAGTCATGCGAGAAGAGATTCATCTTTAGGTTAATTGCTTAATCTCGCGTACCTATAAATGGTCGTCTCAATTAAGTTCAAGTTCTAAATTAAATCCCCGACACCTCTCCCCACCCATTTCCGCCACCTTCAAGCAGTTCAGCTCACTTCGACGAAAGAGCTCGAACTGATATCGTGGTCAGCAAAAGCTATCTGACACGGATATTTCCAAAACCGAATCGTCACGGTGCCTGGATCCCGTCTTCGACTGGTGTTTAGCGTCCTATCCCGCCCATACATCAAAAGTGGTCCCAAAGTGGCAACAAATGACGTCACAGAAGCCGGAGTGTCATGCTGTTGCCTGTCGCGATCCTGGCGGTTCGCCGTAGAAATGCTGGCGAAAAGCACGAGCGAACGCGAGTGTCGCTGTCGTCACAACGTCCCAGGCGTTCCAACTTCAAGCTGCTGTACCTTCCGTGGACTGTCACAGTGGAGAGCGACCTCCAGCAGAACAGGCGTCTGCCATACACACCACAACTGTTAGGACGCCGCCAGGATGGCGACCGGCGACAGTATGACACTTCTATGACGTCATCAGGCGGAAATCGAGGGACCACTTTTTTGACCGCGGTAAACACACCAGTCGGAGACGCGTTCCAGGCACCATAGTCGTAGTGCGTAACGCCAGATGTCGGCATTTTGGGTTGAACTCCTTCAAGTTCACAATTGGCTCGAAATCAAAATAACCGTTCCCTCGCCCACAGGCTTACGTCTAGGCTCTAGCAAACACTTTACTTATCTACGTCTATAATTAAACTCAAAACTAACCCTCTCTCATAATATCCTTCGACTTCTTACTCCCGAATTTATGACGCCATTGAAATTCCGGCCCTAGGTATATTTATGAAACTCCTGGGCCTTCGGGGCTTACAAACTTATTGTCGAATTCAGAAACCTCACTCAAAGTACACTCAAACTGAAGGGCCCCTCCACTTCCTCGAGGAAGGCGCGAGGGCCGGCGCTGGCCAATCGCGAGGACGGATCCGCCGTCGCGATTGGCCAGCGCCGGCCCTCGCGCCTTCCTCGAGGAAGTGGAGGGGCCCTTCAGTTTGAGTGTAGTTTGAGTGAGGTTTCTAAATTCGGCGGTTAGTGACCCTCACCTTGCGTCTAAGGGTGAGAATGAGTGAGTTGAGCGAGTACACTCGTGAGTGAGTTTAGCCGAGGCACGGCGTCACCTTGAACAGCCTGGGCGCCCTGGGGTCCTGACCCACGTCCACGACGTAGATGCGGTCGCTGTTGAGGCAGGGCAGCACCAGCTTGTCCCTCCGCTTGCTCGGGTTGCCGTAGCAGCTGCTGCACGTGTTCCAGTTCATGTGGTGAAGCTCGTCACCCGTGTGAGGCATCGGTAGACGGTGGATCACCTGTCGCGTCCGTCGACGGAGCGTTCGTGAATTACGCGCTAGACTCCAGTGATTCTCACGGCGCTCATCTGAACCAACGCCAGAAATGAGGCCACTGTCTGATACGGCCTGCTGTCCCGTGTAGCAGTATCATACTTATTGTTTAAGTATACAGTCCCCGATTGAAGCCACTTTCTGAAGAACGCCTCAAAACTAACGGCAAGCTAATAAGTGTTAAAGGTTTTTGTTGTTGTTGTTTTTATTACGTTTATTTGATAGAAGGGGTGGAACTCCGTTAAATCTTTTCATTGCAGTGTTTTTATTTCATGAACTTTTCGGTTTAAGTCGATAGCTTGTTATTTCTAAAAGAGGAAGACCAAAATATGATTCAATGACGTTCAGTTTGACTGAATATCTGGTATGCTGTTGTGCATGCTGAAAATACAGAATGAAGGGGAAAGGGTGATCGAAGGAGCAACAGTGCACGATGCTCTAGCCGAGCGTACTGCAAGGGGAGGCAGAGAAGAATTAAATTGACAAGATGAAACTAGGTAAGAAACGTGATATGAATGGGGATGAGATGGCCGGAGGATATTGAAAAAAACGTCTTTACGGCATGTGAATGGGAGAAGTTCAAATATCCGAACATCCAGCGAAGGCACAGACAGTCGACTTTTCTGAATCCGTCGTCAGGTTTCGTGTCCTTTTACTTACGCACTTCCGGATGTGCACACGGAGAGAATTCAGCAACAAATCGATGTTTGTTTTCAATGAAGTGTGGTACTTCCCTTCGCTTTTATACTGGGCTTTCCCACGTGCGTGCGTGCGTGCGGGCGCGCGCGTGTTTGTGTATGTATGTGTGTGTGTGTGTGTTCACGCGCGCGACGTCGTTCGTGAGTTTTATGTCGTCCCAGCCACGCAGGATAAGCCCCAAAAACGTCGATGATTTTTTATACACAAAATTAATCTTGACTACGTAGATTCCTGACAAAAATAGATACGAGAACCTTTATCGAATTTAAATTCAGTTTGCAGATTGTTCATCGTCCCATGGCGTCGTTTCGAAGCGCTCAGAGTAAGGCTGTCTGAATGGCCCATTGTAAAAGCCCTTACTTAAAAAAAAAGTGGTGCTCAAACATTTAGTATAAAGAATTTATACATTTCCTCGCTCAATAGATTGGATTTGGGATTCAATTACCTATTAGTTGAGGCATCTACATTTGTAGAAGTGAATGGTTCCCTGATGTTAAGAGAAATAAAAAAGAGCGGAAATATAAGTGAAAAATAAGATATAACAAAACGCTTTATGTGCTGTTCTTTTTTTCTTTCGTCCCTCCGTCGTTTCCGGTTCTAAGTACTTTTAAATTAATAATTTGGTTCTGACTCCATGGCTCGAATATAGTTCGCGGTTGTCTTTTCTTGCTATAGCACAAGACCATCGTCGTTCGCGGTATCATAAAGTGTGCCGTAAAATATTTTTTTTCTTTAATAACTGATAAAAATAAATAAAATATATACATTGGCTGCTGCTATAGCGGCGACCTCTACTCCTTTTTGAACTTGAGTGATCAGTGTTTGTTGAATTGAGAGTTTACAACTGTGAGAGTTCACAACTGTCACGTAAACTAAGCATTGCACAGAACACCCCACAATATACTCCAAAGTAGAAAATTACACTACTTACAGTAAAGTGCAATGATTGTTATGCTATCTACATAAAATATTTCATATACACTCAAACGCGAGTACATTATGTACTGTACAATATACACTAAAGGGATCGAATATTGCACATTAGATTACCCAAATACGTTTTACATTAGAACTAATTTCAGCACGATAATATACAACCATGGTTTACAAGTGTTGTATACTGAATTTCATAGTTGAAGAATGTATATAGTGTTAATTTATCATAAAATAATGTTTCTACTTTTCTGCCGTGTCTGTGTTGTTCTTGGTGATCTATTTCTCTCAATAACTAACCGTTATTTTAGTTTCCAAGAAGAAATCACGCAAGGCAAAAAGAGCCTCTTTTGTAGAACTGAGGTAGGCCAAGGAACGAGCACTTTCTCTCGAGACAAGGGGCGGTCGTCAAGTGTCATGAGCCGTAAATTTAGCTCTTCTCGACACTTTTTCGAATCTCGAGCATTCTAGTAGAAGATGAGTCTTATCTCCGACTGAGTTTCCACATGGGAATTCTGGAAAATCCGCACAATGGATGCGGTGTAGAAAGCTTGCTGTGTAAGCGACATCGAGACGATGCCCGTGCGGTAGTGTTTCTATGCACTCGCGTGCGAGAGAAATGGGTGCGCGAAATTTTATCTGAGAGTCGACTTCGTAGGAAATAGAGCGTTTAGAGTGTTCGTCAAACCAAGTAGAACTACAATTTCGGGCATAGAACCGTCCTTGAGATCTCCCGAGTGTTTCCACGGGAAAGGAGAGCACGTTGATGCTGCTCGTTCCAATGTAAGTACCTTCTTCGTGAGGCAGTCTGCCGCTTCATTGCCCGTGAAGTCACAGTGTCCTGGAACCCACTGAAGCGCAATGTCGTGGCCTGCCTCCATTTCTGCCGTCGTTTAAACAAGAACTTTGTAAATGTAGCCGCCTTTGTTACTTCTACAGTTCATTGATTGTGTAGATGTGAAAGTCACTTGAGAGTCACTGCAGATTACCCATTTCTTCGTCGTGCTTGCAAAAAAAAAGAAAAAAAAATATATATATATATTGTTTTTGCGATTTCCGCCATTTATATTTATCCTCACATTAAGCCAAAAATGCAAATAAAATAAGACTCACATAAAACAATGCAAATGAATTGTATGTCATTACATTTAAAAAAAAACATTGTCAACATTGTAGCAGCATGCACACGATTCTCCTTGCAGAAACTCACTTCTTCCTGGCGTATCGCTCTCGTTCTATCTTTCTTTCTTTCTTTTTTGCTGGATTGAAATGGAATCTATCTTAATCAATTTTTCAAGTTTTTTTTCACGTATTTTTTGTTTTGTTTTATTTTTTCCTCAAATCTAATTCATTTTTTGTTTTCAAAATGAGACAAAAACGAAGCAGAAGGCAATTGGGAGCTCCGCATGTCTAGCCCGCGGTCTATGGTCAGGCCTCTCAATTTGAACATGGATTCTAGGCCTCGAAGATCGATAACGCCTCCAAACATACGCCAACATCGACCACTAAAGCGAAAACGAAACAAACGCATCAGCAAAGACGAAATTGAATTTTAGAGCTGAGACCCTCTTCCTTTCTTTTCACCGGAGCTACTCAGCCAATACCTTTTTTCTTCCTTTCTTTAAGAGAGCGAGAAATAAACAAAACAAAAAAGATCGAGAAAAGTTGCACTGGCAACTTTCTTTGTCTAAGTCTCAAGGGGGCTGTATAGAGATCGGCGTTCTGGCGCTCTTATCGATGGGTTCCTCGCTGTATCTTTCTTCCTTTTGAAGTAACTTTCTTCCTCGGAGTTCCTCCTTGTGCGCTGTAAAACAACAGGAACCGTGCCAAGGGTATTTTTGAAGGTAAACAGATCGATGATCCCGTAATCTCTCTCTTTAATACAAAGAAGATGAGAAAAGAAATACGAGCGAAATTTTTATTCTTGCTTCTCGGAGCAACACAGTAATCTGGTTTCGGGGACAATGCGCAGGGAAGAACTTTGAAAATGCTAGGCTTCATTCGGGAGATGTAGCGTTGTTCGCGTACGTCCACTTAGGGTCTTGGCTATAAACGCTGTGGAGACCGCGTGACTAAACAGAAACAATGAATAAATTGATGTGCCTCATCGTAAGCAGTGGTGTACCCAGAATTTAGTTTTACGCGAAAGGGGGGGGGGGGGGGGGGGGTCTTTAAATAATCCCCCGTCTACGCCACTCGTCGTATGTGGACGACGAGTGTTCGTGTTCAGAACATGACTGATTATGTTCATACGCATGGCAGAACACTGTACTTTCAGGTAACGTTGTTAGACGCATTATTCTGTGTTTAAGGCGGCGGTCCCGCGGCCCCAACCGTAATATCGGTGGCAGCTGAGCTAACGCTCTTGTTTGCGGTGCCAATGTCGCGTTTGTGGGCACGCCACGTAATTCGTTCTTTTAGCAAATGAATGGCCAATTCATCGTCAGTGTCTTATTGCAGAATGTGACATGCATTTGTCAAAACTTAACGCACAATAAAAAAGAGCAAATTTTGATGTTTTTAAAGACAATAAAGACTAAGCATTCCAAGTTTTTCGACTTGTAATGCATCCAAGTCACGTTCTTATTTTTTTATGAATAGATAAATGACTTCTTTGGTTCTGTTCTTACGTTTTCTTTTCGTTAATTATTACACACTTTTTTAATACATTTACTCTAAAAGTGCCCTTTCTATATGATTTTGAAGTGTCGTAACTAAGTTTCACATCATAACGCAGTAGCGACATTTAAGGGCATGCTCATGGTAAACATTGGACCCTTACAAAAATGGTCAATGAGTTTCAATAGAGTTTCTATACAATTGAATGACTTTCAATTGAAACTCGTTTCATATTTTTGTAAGGGGAACTCAGCATAAATAAAGATATTAAAGATATTGACATTGCACTTTCTTTTAATAGTCATGTTGTTACAACCGTAAATGCAGCGCTAAGAGTATTAGGTATGATTTCACGTTTATGTCACTAATTTTCTGCCCGTTCATGTTTATTGCATTTGTATAAGTTTTTGGTTAGATCACAGTTAGAATTTTACTCTGTGGTTTGGAACTCACTGACTATTTCTCAAGCTATCGCGATTGAAAATGTACAGAAGCGAATGATTAGAATTGTCTATGATAGGTATATTGGAAGGGGGTGTTTCTACCACTATGAATCATTGCTTCACAGGTTTATTGCACAAACTGACTGTGAGAAGACAGTACCAGATTTTATGTTTTTATACAAAGTTGTACATCGTGAGGTAAACTCGACGGACTTATTGCAGTCTATTTCCTTCCATGTTCTACCCCGAATCATTAGGAACAAATCAACGTTTTACCCCTCCTGTACATCACTTGTGTCACCTCTTTTGAGGGCTCAAATTGATTTTAATGCTGCACATCAGAAGAACTTTGATATTTTTAGTGCACGTCAGGATTTTATGCAACAATTACGCGAATGGATGCAATTGCCTTAAGCAGACCGGATCAAGCCTACCCCTAGCTTTTTTTTTTAGTTTTTAGTTTTTCTTTGACAATTTGTATTTTGGCTTATATGTATAATAATTCACCCATGTTTATGCACTACACAGTAGACCGCTAGGTTGTTTGTGGGTACTGGAAAATAAACCATTATTATTATATTATTATTATAAAAGTGCAACACAAGCAGTTTTTCTTCGTAAGCACCATTTAATTATGATAAAATTTTAAAGTTTTTTCTTCTCGCGATCTCTGTTTTCTCGGACATCATTCTAGCACCTGATCACATTTTTTGTAAAACTTGTATGCTAAAAGAACTAGGTTGGTTCTATGTAGGGCTGGTTTGGTTCTATTCACATTCAGATTTATTTAAAATAATTTTAAATCTTGGGATTACTTTGGAGCTCGACTCTGTATGCAAGAAACCGGTTTCAGAGAAGAGGACAGTTATTTAAACAACAGTTTAACTATAGCTTTTCTCGTTTTAATCAAAAACACTTTTCATGATCGTAATTTTTTTAAAACGTGCTGATTGTCCCTAATATCAAAAAGAGCTTATGTAGTAGCAGACAGCGCGCACTTTCACCATCTTCTGAAATTTTCTTTTCTACGTACTCTTCTGGCGCGTCCCGACTTCAAGCAGCAAGAACAAAGAAAGAAGTATTTAAAACCGACCACGACGGACATGAACGCTGAATCCACACACATTCGGGAAAAGCTACAACGGCAACGACCCCACTGACCAAGCGACCGCCAAGGGCTAGCCCGGCGAGCAGGACAGAGTATAGGCCTAGCGAGGCACTCCGACCTGTTCCGGCGGTCCCTGCCAAGACCGTCTGTAGAGGACCGGCAGACTTGCTGAATGGAATATGCCCGCGCCATCCCTGTGGACCCTTCCCGTGTGAATAGTTTGATCGCTGACCTTCGATTAAGAGGTCAATCTCTTCCCCTTGTCATCGCCTTGTTTTCCAACGCAGCGGTGACGAACGCTGTCGTCGAAAAGGGACTCTCATTGATTCTTTCTCCTTGGTTTGTGTGACATAGAGCTCAAATAAACGTCGTATGGATTACCTTCGCAACATTTATGGCATGTACACTTTTTTTAATAGTATGCCATCTTTATTCCGACACGACGGTACGTAAACAATAGGGACTTTTAGCAAACAGTTGCCGTGCTCCGCGTACCGCACTACCGGAGCCTTTGAAGCATGCTTTTAAGCGCGCGCCCGGGTGGTACCATGACCGCGGGGCGCGCGCTTAAAAGCATGCTTCAAAGGCTCCGGTAGTGCGGTACGCGGAGCGCGGCAACGGTCTGCTAAAGGTCCCTTTTGTCCAGCTAGAATGGTTCGTGGGAGCTACGCGATGCCGGTCCAACTTTCCTTTGCCGAGTGTCACGTCAGCATCGAGTTGCAATCGTAAAAAAAAAAATCGGTCCCGAAGCGCTTACCAAAACGCGGTCCAACTGCGCGAACCTAGCACTTCGATGAAACGCGCGCGTCCGCTCCGAGTGTGAACTGGTATTTACGTGGCTCTTGCTGACACTCTCGTAGTTCAAACACATCTTCTTGGACGTCGGCTCGCTCCTGCATCTCCGAGGCCGCGAAAAACGCCACGGCGATTTTTTTCTGTCAACGCCACTTTGCAAAATTGCAAACGACCTGCGCGAGCCGTCTTTTTTTTATTAACAATGACAGTTGTGTTGACTTCGTAGCGATGGAGTTCATAGCAGTCGGCGAAGGCGGTTATCCCGGTCTCGGCATTCGGGCCCGTTTAATTCGTGTTAGCGTCGACTTTTCGCTGCACGGACATGAACCATAGACGGAAAGGCCGCCTGCGTTTGCAATTCGAAATCCACGTGCTCCGAACTGCTTCGAACCATGCAGAGGTCTCCGATTGGTTGTTCGTGTTGAAGACGCCGTCGCCATAGCAACAGCCGGCTCTCGCGGGGATGGGGAGCTTGAGGGACACCTGAATTTCTAGTTGTTTTCTTTTTCGTGCGAGAACGCCGTTTTCCTCCTCTCACTTAAGAATGCGTTCGTGAATACCGATTTCTCCTCTTCTTACGATGCTTTTAGAGGGACACTGACAGGGTATTTATCCTCGCCAAGGTTTTTATGCAAAAGCATTAACTGTCGCACGGAGTGAACCGGCGTTATTAGCTTTTGAAGTCGCGCCAAACGGCATCTAAACTCCACAGTCCCAATAAAGCGAAGCCTGTCGTCTGTAGCAGCGATTTGATGGATAGGCTCCCATTGCCTGGCGCGACGTCATAGTTTCAAGGAACGAGGCTCCCATTGGCTGCTGCGCGGCGTAGTTCCAAGGAACGCCAACCCACAGAGAATCCCTTTCCATGACAGCTCAGCAGCCCGGCCGCCGGTAAGAGACAAAGAGAGCGGCAGGCCGCAGAGACAGCCGAGCCCGCCCGGGCAGACTCCGGAGAGGTTGCACGGCCGAGCTCAGCGCGGCGTGGCTTCACTAGAGCGCGCGCTCGGCCGTCGGCCGCAACATCGGCAGTAGCGAAACATGGCCGTCCACGCCAATACGCCGCAGACGAACTAAGGGAGCGGGAGAACGACATTCATGATTTCGCATTCACAACTCATAAGAAATGCTTAAATGTCCTCAATTTTTTTTTTGTACATTCTATGTGAGATCTTAACCACACAGAACACAATTTGGGGCTCGAAATTCATTTTCTTTCCACCTGAAAACCGCCGATCGAGAACTGTCCGGTTTGAGTTGCGCTCACTCTCTCCTCCGTGGTCATGTGCTGTTTTTTATGGTTTATACACAACCACCAAAGGTATTCATTGTCGTGGGTTATTGAAGCACACACTTAATACTCAAACTAGACAAAAGTGTGATACCCATATTTTGCAGCCTCTAAAAAACTGCAAATTCGTTGATCGAAAAAAAAGTTGCATAGTTTGGTAACCTTTCTCCTGCTCCATATTTCTTCTTCCTCCCCAGTCCAGTTTCGGTTTCGATTTCAAGCTGTTGCATTTTCTGACATTATCAAACATATATGTGATGCCTTAGAAAAATATTGAATGAGTAGTCTTCTGACCCATAAATAAATCGCCTAGCAATAAATTTAAAAAAAAAAACGTTGGGAGGTGTCAGTGTTCCTTTAACTTACGAAAGCTAGGTTGTCGCAACTTAAGAAGCTCTTCGTGGATCTGGCCTCAAAACATTGGTACAATAAAAGCGGGCGCATGAACGTCTACCAAACAGACACAATGAACGTCAGTGGTCCAGACATGTCGGTGGCGTGTGTAGCTTGGACTGTGTTACGCGGTTTGCCATATCCGAAAACCTTGAGGTGGAACCATGTTCTCCTCCGCTTGGCAGCTTCTGCCAAGAGAAGAACGAACGTTGCGGCCCGTTCGATCCAATCAGAGCGACGGAAGCAGAGCACGTTACAGCCCTTACCAAAGGTACAGGTGCGAGAGCGTGACCCAAGCAGTTGGAGAAGAGGGAACGGAAGAACTCCCCTCTCACCCGAACCCTCTTTTGTGTCACACCAGACGTCGTTTTTTTTCCCTAGAATATTAGCCCATCATCAAAAATCGCACCAAAACAGCCTTTCTCTCTCTCTCACCCGTGGCTTTGACAGCACTGCAAGGAACTCGTGAGATACAGTACAGTCACGTGGCCCCCTCCGGAGCAGTGATTGGCTCACTGAAACCGTGGCCTCCAAAAAGGGCAGGACTCGCCTTGCAGAAGTCCGGCGAGTTGGCGTCGACGCAGACAGTGGCCAGGTAGTCGGGCCTCTGGCCTCCGGGCACCACGCAGGGCAGCCAGAGCATCGTCTCTCGGGGGCCCGACATGGCCTCCAGAGGAGACCGGAAGCCTACTGAGTCCCGGCACTCGCTGGTGCAGCCGACGCCGTAGCCACCCGTACCCACGCGCCTTGAACTGCTCAGGCAGCCTGCGTTGGAGAGTTGCCTCTTGAACGCTTTTCGAGGGAACCACCTTGAATTGGTCGTCGTATTCTGTCTAACGAGACTTGTTGTTGGGCTAGTTTGTGCTTGATGCCCAGGAAAAGTTGCAAGAGGGATGGACGCAAAGAAGGAAAAGCGGACAAGTTTTGTCTCCCTCAGGACAATCTTTGACTCAAGTGTAGGTGGTACAAACGGACAACGTACATTCATCTGAAAGTTTATCAAAATGCACCCGGACTTCCTTTGCGGCGTCAGGCTGTCTCCCCGACATGCGCGCTTTCCAGGAATGAACCGTCGCCTAGAGGGCTGTCCACACTGAAAGCAACTTCTGTCGTGCACGACCAAAATCGCATCCCCGATCCCCACAGGCTCGCACGCAAAACGCGGCAAAGCGGATTCTGGGAGGAGTATTGCATTCGTTTCTATGAACTGTAAAGTCGGGTTCGCGCTGTTATTTTCTCCGTGGCGTTGCATCACCTGACCACGTCTCGTGGTGTCAGATCACGGGCCGTCCCAACTTGACACCAGGGCGGCGGATCACATGACGTGTATTTCTCTGTAAATTAAAGGAAAAATGACATCACACGACGTCACGCTGGAAAATCGTGGTGTCACGAGATACTGTGACGTGCCGTGTGACATGGCGACGAGTCACGTGAAGTCAATTTCTTCACTAACTTTAAAATGAGAAAGTATCAATATTTTTGTTTAAGCCCCGAAACGACTGTTTCATGTCTTTAAACAGATTTAACAATCGATCTCTATGTGAGTAATCTATTCCACGCGTTATAAAACATTTAAATAAAAATCGCTGCCATTTATTTCTCTTTTTTTTATTTTCTTTTTTTTTTTTTTTTTTTTTGTGAGGCACTGAAAAAAAGAAAGACGGGTTAGAACATTTGTCGATCAGAGCATGAAAGAAGGAATCCGCTGAAAGGCGCCATGAAACTAGTTTTGAGATGGGATAAATAATTTTAGATTTTTTTCCTAATCGCGTATCGTTCATTGGGCCAAAAAAAAAAAAGAAGGTACAGAGTCAAAAGCCTGCTTTTCGGTACAAAATTGTTAGCGGACTATTTCGTACCTCATTTTCTTCGAATGCACTCTGACTTTCCACTGGGATACATCCGCGCTACCCAAAGCACGTCAGCCGACCCCAGCCCACGCATTGGAGACGACCCCCGCGTATGCGCTCGTCAACACTCAGTCCGTCGACGAATACTTGGATTCGCCTTCGTGGCCGATGAGTGCCGTGATGGCACTCATTATCATTTGGGAATGACGAGTATCATAGTGTGCTAAGAAACATGGTGGAAGCTTGGAGTCATCGCACCAGTGCCCAAGCACGGCACGACCACGTGATTTCTCATTTCATTTTTTGCGTTGAGGAGTAAAACTAATTGGCAAAACGTTAAAAAATAATTTCATGGCCCCTTTAATTTATTACCCACAGCACGAACCAGTGCCATCACACATAGGCAGACCGCTTTCACATTCTGTAAACATCTAACGTCTGATTTGTTTTGCTTTTGCTTTGATCTCGTCTGACAGCAAACACAAATCGCACCATCACTTGTTATGCGACGCGGTGCACTCTTGAGCAGCACTCGTTGCGCGGTTAAAAGAGCATAGAGCAGCAGTTTTAATTCAGAATAATATTTGTTTCTGAAGCTAGCTAAAATCTTACGGAGCGTCTGTACACGCGTCGCGTGGTGATGTGGGAGGCACTGAGTTGGCCAGATGCCAAAAGCACGGCCACTCGATCCCTCCTGTTAGAGCGGCCTGCCGATGTTTTTCCGAAAACAAAAGAGAGCGCGTGAGAGGAGAACTTCTCCCATTTTCCATAGGGGCGCTGCACGTCGGTGAGCGGTCTTGTGAGCTGAAAGCTATAAGCCTGGTTCAGACAGTTGCGTTTGACTGCGTTTGACTGCGTTGCGACCGCGAGAAACCAGGAGGTCCCTGCTGCTTATGTCGCGTTCCAAGATGATTCCTTGAATTGGATTCCACGCTTCATACGAAGCACAGATGTGCCGGTGACTCGCTTTCGGTTCTCGCCGCAACGCAGTCAAACGCACTCAAACGCAAGTGTCTGAACCGGCCTATACTCTTTCACCTTAGGTTGTACCGCAGGAAAGGCTGTAAGCGTGAGCTCCTTGCTCTGAGGCAGATCTTGGCGGCACAAGCTCTCGTGCAGTAAGGACAGCTGTTAACGCTATGAGCTCGCGCTTCCAGCCTTCGCTGCGGTACAACATAAGGTGAAACGAAACGAGTTCGTCAGCGAAAGTAAAAAAACTACTCTTTGGCGACTTGACTTTATCCAATATTTGCCGTCATTTCCGAAATAAACTGATGCAACACCAATTACCACTGGAGCAATTCATACCAGCTAAAAAAACACTATAGGGGATTAAATGGCATCATGAAAGATAATGTAAAAAGTATTTGTACATTACTTTGAAAGGAGATTACATTTATAATACTTTATACTCTTTAAGTACATTGCCACAGGTGTACTTCCCACTTTACTTCCTACTTTATATATGAACTTCCTACTTCCTACTTTATATATATAATATTATATATATTATATATATAATATTATATTATTATAATATAATATTATTATCGTATTATAATATAATATTATTATTTATTATAATATAAAGTATTCTATTTATAATACTTTACTTCTTTAAGTACATTGCACCAGGTGGAGTTCCTACTTTACTTCAAGTAAATAACCTCTAATTTACTTTGTACTTTACTTCAAGTAATTTTTAGATGTACTTAACGCGATGCTGTAAACAAGCAAACATTGTGTGCAAAATCAAGCTCAGGCAGTGCTAAACCTCGAAGCAGAAATTATACATTCGCAGTACATCACTGACCAAGAAACCAAACAGTACAAAACAATTAGGCACGCAGAAGCAGCACCAGCTATTGAAGCATTTCTGTGAAAACGCAAGCCGCTTTATATTTGGCTAACCGAATTTCGGCTAGCCAAAAAAAGTAACTTCAAAAGTAATTCGCTGCTTCATTGCGGTAGCTAGTAATTGACACAATTACTTTACATTTGAGTAATTTCTGCTTTACTAAATTACTTTTGAGGCCAATACTCAATAGCTCAACTTACTTTGTTTTAGTAACTTGTACATGTCTGTCTCCCGCGCTGTGTAACCCTTAATACAATAATACTACTCCCAGCGCGTATGGTGAGTTCACTTAAATTCGAAATTTTTAGAACGGTCAAGTGGTGTACTTGATTAAGAACTATCTATAAAAACTTTCGTGCCCCTTTCAAAGAGAAGGATAAACAAAAAAGCATCGTTTGCTAGTTGAGGTCGGTATTGTTTTGCTTTCAGAATTCAAATATCAAAACAGTCAAGGCGAGCCGACTTACCTCCCATCCAGTCCCTGTTACTGTGTCTTGATCAGTGCACGCCAAGAACAACCCACGACCACTCGGTGCGTGCATCAGCAAGTTTTCTGTGTCATTCAACGGGTTACACAACTCTCCTCGTTTGAGTTCGGCTCCTCTATTGGGTAAGGGGTCCCTAATGATTTTACCGGGTGCCTTAGAGTCGAGAGGAACGACGAGATACTATTTCTGTCGGTCTGTGCACGCCCCCGGGACCCGCGCACTCACCGTTCATGTGGAAAACTGAGGGAAAACTGCCTGAAACTCGCTTATTGATTTAGTCATCGAACAGGCGACCGGTACCAAGCGCGATATCAATACTATACAACAAAACTATTCTTGAGTGTGATTTGTTAAACGTTCTGTATACAACAAACAAAACTAGTGTATGCTGTGGACACGCGCCGTGACTATGGAATGGCAAAACGGCCGCGCATTTTGAACATTCCTACATTGGTGTAGCACGTTGGTGAACCGTATGCACGGTGACCGTATGCGAACAACTAAACATAACGTCAAACAAGTGGTTGCGGCCACCACACGATGTGAAACTTTCCAAAGTTGCCTGATTGCACACGAGGAACACGATTTAGGACGCCATCCTTGCAACTGTGTATAGTCCATTACAGTGGGTAGTAGATGTGTACGCATTAGTAAACAAAGTAGCCGAGCATACCGTTCATCGATTGTCAAACATGGTCGCTCTTCGAAAAAAATAAGTCTTTACTTTGTTACCGTACAAAGTAACGAGTTACGAATAGCGCATTCTACTCGCGGACAACTTTCTGCGGCTGTGCAGTCTAAGGTATGAGTGTGCGAGCATGAACGCCGACGAATGCTGTGCACGCGCGCTCTTCCTCGCATCATAAGTGGCACAAGACGTCGCCCGATCCGAAAGGTGCAGTCATATCCGCCCATTCATCCTGCACGTGGCGTATAGACACGTGGATGGATGGACACACCCATCAGCTGTCCTAAATTTGTCGTGTAAATGTGGTCATTAACACAATTTGTATTCGTATTACTCTCTCGTCATTTCGTGTGCTCTGCAGAGAAATAAACACGTAAAGTTTTTGTTGTTGTTGTTGTTGTTGTTGTTGCTGTTGTTTTTTCGTCTTCCCCTCGGCCTCCCCCGTAATTTTTTTTTTTTTTTTTATTCATAACACGAAAACTGTGCGCATGCTCGGGGGAACGATAAGATGATAAACTGAAAAGAATAAACAAAATCCCCGAACGTCTCCCAAGAAGAATTGAGCCAGGAACCTCAAGAGTTTCGCTCAACCACTGAGCCAAGAACGGAAGGGTGGAAAGGGCGGGGGGGGGGGGGGGGGGGGGGGGGGGTACTTGTGAATTGATAGTTAGAATTAATGTGCCGTTCTCCTCACCTTATCGCGTGCATGCGCGGGTCCGAAGGCGAGGAGAGGGGCTCACTGGAGGCGCCGCAGTCTTCAGAATGCTTCGCAAGAGGATCGAGCGGACTAAAGAGGAGGCAGCTGAACCGAAGCGGCGACGTGCGAAGTATGACTATCGTTATTACGTGCAAATGTACAGACGTTTGATGCTGGGTTA